AGAAATAATAAAAATTATTTAATTAGTATGCATGTATACATAAGATACTTAATGTATGAAGTAATAACTTTTTGAATAATTGATTATACATAGTGTGAATCTAGGAATCAAATAGCTAATAGAAAACTATGAAGCAAGCATTAGCTAGTTAATTTAAAGTGTTAGAGATGTTAAATATTAGACAGCATGCTTAGATAATAATGAAAATTAATAGTTATAAAAGATATTATATTAACAGGATTATTATAATTTGGATTCCCTACTTCAGCTATTAATGATAACTTCCACAGAAAGTAACTTAAATTTTTCAACTGGATATTGACATCACTATACTGTCTTATCCTCCTACCATTATATACATTATTATTATTTTTTCATTTTAATTATTATTGTAAATACATGAAGTATTGAACAAGTTGTGCATACTATGCAGGCATATCCCAAAACTCAGTTCCTCAAGATTTATAAATTCCTTCCAATGTCTTCGGGTATAAAGATGATTTGATATAAAGTTTTCCTTTTTTATAGGCCTATTTCTTCAAAAAAATTTTCTTTCATAAAACTATTTTGGCTCTAAATTATACAGGGTGATTCAGAACTCATGGGACAAATTTTGATGGGTGGCAGAGGACACTATAGCAAATATTTCTTTGTATCGAAATACATGGGAGCATGTAATACATTAACGCATAAACTCAAGTCATGAAAGGAAACAAACAGTTTACCTATAGTAAGGATAGTCAATCTTTAACAGTTCATATGTCAATTTTTTCATTTTTTATTCAAATGCACCACACAATTTTTATACCCCTTTTCAGCCCTTATGAAATATCATAATATGGATACATAAAATGATTTATTATATTGTATAATGTATTATAGATGCTTTTAGCAGTTTTAAATAAAAGGATTTCATATAAAGGTTAGCATTAACTTTCACCTTGCCTGCATCTAAAAAAAATCCTAATATCTCTACAAAATGACAAGTCAATCATTCTTTTGAAGCGACTAAAAGTAGTTCTGTTATTTTAATGCACCTTCTTTTCACACTGACATCACTCCAAACGCCCGAGCATTCAGACATCGGCAGGTCGCCCGAATGCCTAAATAATTTCTCACTTAGTGCTTTCCCCCCCCATCGAGTTACTGTATTGCTCATTGCTTTCAAGAGTTGTTAAATTATAAGGTATTTTTCCCGCCTTCCTAGCCTGCCTTCGTGGTGTAGTGGTTCTGCACGCTGGGCCAGTATTTCAGAGGTCCACGGTTCAATTCCCGGCGAAGGTGATTGCTCATTTTTCATCTTCCCTGCATCCAAAAAAAATCCTGATGTCTCTACAAGTGGCTCCCAAACTAAAAAAGGGTTGCGGATGATGACTCATCACACCCAGGATTTGGTGATTGGGTCCCCTAAAAAAACCCAGTTGCACTTTAAAAGGGAGAGTATATAAGGTATTTCTCCTGCCTTCTTAGCATACCTTCGTGGTGTAGTGGTTTTGCACACTGGGCCGGTATTCCAGAGGTCTGTGGTTCGATTCCCGGCGAAGGTGATTGCTCATTTTTCATCTTGCCTGCATCTAAAAAAAATCCTAATATCTCTACAAAATGACAAGTCAATCATTCTTTCGAAGCGACTAAAAGTAGTTCTGTTATTTTAATGCACCTTCTTTTTCCTTTGTTTGCCGTCAATGTTTAGCTATTGATGCCCGAAATTGCAATCCTGTCCCAAGGGCGAACTTCACACGAGGTGAAAGCATCACAAGACTGAAGTTGTCGCTTTACTTAAGCAGGTTATTGTTAGCGCCGTAGTATTCAATTTGTCATGGGGGAGGGAAAAGCATTCCAAGAGCAATTCGTATACACGAGCATTTTCTATGTTTAAGGAAAAGAGATCTGGTCCTCTCTCGATGCAAAAGAGTTAAACAGGCTTCTGCAACGCATTTCTTTTGTTAAGCCTGTAATGTTTGGAGTTAAATCAGTTAAAGAAAGCATTTTTTAAAAAAATTCTTAATTAATTCCACTTAGTTTATTTTTAATCATTTCTGTTGATCAAAATGCTTGTTAACTTCTGTACATTGCTTCAAAATGACAAATATAACTCAGCAAATTTCTGTAGTTCTGGAAAATGGTCACAAGGCAACAATTGCCAGAAATTAATTTATCAGAAGCAATGTGCTGTGCTGCAAAAAAACACTTGCAGAATTCTACATGCAGAGGGTATTTTTCATTTTCAAAGTTTTAGTTCTGTGAAAATGGAATAGATGTAATAATTCTTCGTGCCTTACACAAGGTCAAAATGAACATCTCCCTCTCTAAACATAGTTACCATTTGCAATCCTCCTGTTCCATGCACCTCTGTTTTCTCGGCAGTTGTGAAATCTTCCAAGGTGGGTGACAACAAAGTTGCAAATGGCACTTTCTTACAGATGCATAACGTTAATGGGTGGCAATCCATTTACTACCTTCTACTACTCTGCTGGCAACAATACAAACCAATAACTCTGTTGATACTTCTAAGTATGTATTATTATTGTTGGTGAATGCAATATTGGGCAATTATTGTAAGAACTGCTGTAAAGAAGCATTTGTCAATTATGCTGTAATTAAATAACTTGTTTCCTTTCATGTCTTATTTCTTATGTTTATGCTTTAACATATTACTCGTACCTATACACTCCTGTAAGAAAAGTGTTATAATGTGTTCAACCACCTTTAAAATTTGTTCCATGAATTCTAAATAACCCTACATATGTACAAAGATTAAAATTAAATAAATATATTTTGAATTAAAAAGGCACAAATTTGCATGCTGTAATGTTTTAAGATTATAAAACTTTGAGCTATTAATACAGTCTACTTTAAGAAACAGTCATAAAGAACCAAAAGGAGGTTGATATGTTTTTGGACTCACAGTTACCAAGTATCTGGGCAAAGCCTTTGAAAAACTATCAAAATGTTGGCAAAAGATCATAGATTTAAGCAGTGATTAATACCCACATTAAAGGTACTAGTTTTAAGCTTGTTTTTTCCCCTAACTTTAATAAGAACATTTTTTTATAGAAAACTTTCATAACAATGAGATATTATCATTATAAAGCAAATGTAAAATACATTTGCATAAAATTTGCATCTAAACTCTTCAAAAACAGAAGTGGTCTTTTTTTATAAAAAATATCACATAGGGGTGGGCAGAGGATTACACATTCTGTTAAAGAAATTTATAGCATCTCATCATTAATATTAAATATTACTCATATTGCTTCAAAATGAAACTGAGATTTACGCTGGATTAAAAAAAAAGTGTTTAATTACTGTAATTGTTTAACATAATGAAAAATCACCCTAAAGTAGAAAGGAAAGTAATGGGACGATAAAACTATATCAAATATTACTTTCTGTATGAAAAACAAAGATTACAAAACTCTTCATTAGCTCTCTTTTGGAAATTTTTATTTGTTGATTATTATTTAATATATGAATTTTTTATTCCTTAAGAAGACTGTTCTCTATTTTTTCCTCCCTTTTTAGATAAAGTTTCAATTTCTCATCTGTTTTTAAAAAAATTTCATATTTTGCCAGACCATTTTTTATTTTTCTGACTTCTTGATTTTCTAGTAAATGGGAACCTTGACCAAGCAGTACACATTTGTCGTAATGATTACTTATTATTTAATGAAATATAACAGAGAAGTACACTACGCACAAAAAAAAGGGGGCAGATCTGTATCTCCCGTTCTAATGGGCCGATTGACGAAATTCAAATTGCATTTTTCATGTGTTGAGAGTGCGATTTAGGATACATATTAGATTTATACATAGCATTAGTCTAACATAGGTTTTTTGACACAAAATTGTACTTTTTCTGAAATAATATATCAATTTTTTTTTTTCATATTTCGATTCTATGACTCAATTATGCCTAGATATTTTGTAATTTTCGGTTTATGGAGGAGTTTAAAAATTTATCTTGGCATCATTCATTCTTTCAAATAATTTTAACAAAGTGCAAAATAACGAAGATGTGGCTTAGCCATATTTTCGTTATTATTGCTTATATTAAATACGACAAACTTCAAAATGTGCTAAAATGTAATTTCACGTATATCTCAGGAAATTTTGAATAAAAAAACTAATTTTTGGCAGGTGTGCCTAGAAATACATCTACTTTAAAATGATGTTAAAAATTTTATTGGTTATAATACAAATATTGTTTCAAAAAATTTATAAAAAATACTTAAAAATACAAATTTTTAAAATAAATTAAAAAAATTGCAAATTATATTTGGATTAAGCCTAAATTTCGAATTCTGGAAGAAGGAATAGAGTAAGTTTAATCAAAAAAAAAAGAGATATATTAATAAATATACATAAATTCAATTAACATTGAGGAGCTAAAACTTTGAGAGCTTATTTTTTAAAAACTACTCGTGCGATTTTTACAGAACTTTTAGCATAATTTGAGTTGTAGAATCGAAACATGAAAAAAATTGTCATTTCAGAAAAAGTTGGATCTTGCGTCAAAAGACCTATATTAAAATAATGCTATGTATAAATCTAATACATATCATTAAGGCGTGCTTTTGAGACATGAAAAACACAAGTTGAATTTCGCAAATCGGCCCAGTAGAACGGGAGATATAGAACTTTTTTTTTCTTCGCAGTGCACTTGTTAGCACAAATGTGAAACCAGTTAAAGACCTAAATCACATTTTAGATGAATACCCCTATTATTTCTCCAGCTTTATAGAAAAAAGACAAAACTCCACTAGTTGTTCATCAGCATAGTACTACTCAACTGTTCATTAATTTAAAATCCTGTTTACATTTCTCCCCTTAAGATCAGGTAATTAACAACTACAAAAATTTAAGTGCCAGTATTATTCACATTAAAAGGAATACTGCTTGAATCTTGGGATACACCAGCATTTAAATAGTTCTCAGTTTTTATAATAATCCTGCATCTTGTAAAATATTTGAAAATGTGACTTAGTTAATGGCTGTACCAAAGCTCGTCTTGTATCCAGAACCTTCAGTTGTGGAATATTATACAGGATGAGGTGACGATAATTTGGGTGTGTAGTTATAGGACAACCTTCTAAAGTTAAATCACAAAGTAATGGAACGTTGCTCACACAGTACATATCTTCAAACCTAGAAGCAATTTAACACATAAACTTCACACTGAAGTGTTGTGGGCAATATTCTGATACTTACATGAGTTTTTAAAAGCATATTTTACATTAGTAAATGGACTACTACAAAAATTGAATTTAATGAGCATTCATTATTTATAAAAAGAAATCAATGTTCTATGGTATTGAATATAGAAAGTTTCATAGTAAATTTAAATCTGCCCCCCTTTTTTTTGGCAAAGTAATTTTTTTTATGTAAACTCAAGTTATATGCATTTATAAAAAATTATATTCCTGCAGAAAATGAGCATTTCAGTCATTGATGAGCTAACCAAGTAAATTTCTTTTATTCATCAAGTAACCAAGTAAATATTTCATTCTTTTTTGCATGACCTACGTTTAAAGTCATGGAAAAAAGAATGAAATATTGCAGAGCATTAAGCTACAAATGGCATGCCAAAGCAATTTAAAAAATGTTAATTTTGTTAAATGTGACAGCAAAAACATGTTCATCTACAGAACTAATGTAGATTATGCAGGCCTATAATACAGCACACATAAAAAAGATTGACAGAAAGAGATTATGTAATTCTGTACAGTAATACAAATTTTAAATGCAATATATTCAAGAGTAAATTACAACATTGCATTTTTAATCAATCTGCAATCAAGCAATAACACAGTGAAAAGCTACCTGTTAAAATTGCATACATGTATATTTACACCAGAGAAATTCTCTTGAAACATACTTAATTCTTTCAGCATCAGGAAACAAAAATTTGTGCTTTTTTGTAACCAGTGCTTACATGGTAAAAATAGAAATTTGTATCTCTTGGTAACAAACACTTGCAATCATGACAAATTTGTGTTCTAGCAACACATTTTAAAATAGTTTCAGGGAAGGGGAAAAAAAATTCCATTTCATATGCAGATTTCTTGAATACATCTAGTTTTTTCCTTGGCAAATATTGCTGATATATATTCAGAAGTACTCAAGCTGGCAAATAGACAGAACTTTAATATGATTCTTTAAGCTCTCGTAACACAACATTGTGCAAGAAGTCAGTCTATTAAGAATGAATGATTCTGAACCATAATAAGATACAAGATATGGCATGTATAGAAGAATAAAAAGCTACTAGTACATTAAGTAAGATATTTCACTAAATTTCTCATAAAAATAACTATTTGTTTATATTCTACATATGAAATTTTGCAGTTTCTCTTTTACTTATATTACAAAACATGTAGGGATTGAGGTTAACAATAAAGCAAACAAACTGGTCCTTAAAGGTACAATCGAATTTCCTATTAGCTGGCAACTCACAGGATCAAGGCTTTCGTCTATTACCAAGGCATGTCTACTAAATGAGAATGCACTGGTCTTCAGCTTTTAAGGTCTGAGAATCCTGAAGCTGTCTATTAGCAGGAAATGTTGATTAAAACAGATTTAATTGTATTAACAATAACTCAATTTATTGTAAAAAAGTTCCACGTTTTAAATTTTAATCTCTCCCCCTCTGAAGAGTACAATTCATTTAATTTGAAAGTATATGACCATAAAGTTCACATCAATATAGCAATAAATAATAATATACTAATATAGATAAAAAGCCTTAAAAGTAAAATTTATTCTATTTATGTATAATGAAGCTGCACATAAAATTATAAATAATAAAATAATTATTCATTATCTATAATTTAATAAACAATTAAGAAAGCATAAAATTAATTTGTTATATATATATTTACCCTTCTATTGAATTTTGTGATAAATAAAGCCTTTGCAAACGAGGCAACACATCCACTTCACACTGAAATAAATTGAAAATATTTAATTCTAAAAATTCAATAATCTAATTTTTAATAAATATTTGCTTCCTTAATATAACACAAAATACCTGATTAATTTCAGATGCTTTAATAGCAATTAAAATCCTATATAGTTTTCAACAGTATATTTGTTGAGATAATCATAGCATTTGACTTAGTAAGATACAGCATCAAATACAGTCAAAAGTCGTTAATCCGGACTCGTCAGGACTTCGGCGATTCCGGATTATCGATTTTTCCGGATTATAGATCATCAGTTTAAATCTGGTAAGATGGCATGCAGAAATTATAAAATTAAAAATATGAAACCGTAATTTATGAAATAAAGAACAATTATGATATAAAGGGTATCAAAATTTACAAAAAAAAAAGCTTAATATTTATTTGTTTACTTTATTAAACATTTCTTTCAATGTAAGTTGTTTAAGTTGCTTCGTTTTGTGTACATATGATAATACACTTTCTCTTTAATTCTATAAACAGACATAATTTCTTGTTTCAGTTACAAAGTTCCGCTGTTCAAGTCCTATAATTGCTGTGTCGAGAATCCCGACTAATTTGTCAATCGAAATTATTTTCATTTTCAATAACCTCTCTGTCACTTCTTTCTTCGCTATCGGAAGCGAATTATAATGATGAGGAATTTGATTTAAATCATATCAAAGATGGAGTACATCGAGATGAAATACTACATTCAGTAAAGAATTATAAGCCAAATAAAATAAAAACATCTACCCTGAAGATAAGGATAGTGCTGACAGATCAACTTCCAATTCATTGCGCGCCCGCTGCAGCATTAAAGATAAACAAAGTTTAGATAAACAAATGTTAAAGTTTAGATAAACAAACGTTAAAGTTTAGATAAACAAAGGATATGCATTTATCCATTTTTTGCAGCAATTCCACTTTTTGTTTAATGAACTTCAAAATATACTTTCGCTTTGTAATCATTTACATATTAGTAAATGTATATCAGAAATTCTATTTGACATAATCGAAAGTTCAAGCTTACTTTTATAAAATTGCTCTAACAGTTTGCAAAAAATAATAAGCCGGACCCAATTCAAAGATTAAGGAACAATGCAATCTACAACATTAACTGAAATAGATAATTAGATAATTTTAGCTTACCTTATACCGTCCGTTATACTTTAAACGTGCACTTGTAAACGTATTTTGCGCACACGCACAAGCTTATTCGCAGCCGTAAAGGTCTTACGCGCATGACGCATGCGCAGAAAGTTTGTAACTTTGAGGTCCGGATTATAGATCATTCCGGATTATGGGGTGTCCGAATTAACGACTTTTGACTGTACATACTTCAGATGTGTGAAAGTTAACATACAGTTCAGTTTTAATCAGCATATAAAGTGCATAATTTTGATGAGAATTATTATACAAAATATTATATTTCAAGTAAAAGCTGTAAAATTAAATAATTATAATTTAATTCTTTTAATTTGATTTTACACAGCAAAATATGTAATTTTCAATTTATTATTAATAATAATCTAATATAAACTGTCATGATTATTATTATGTGCCATAAACTTTGATTTACTGCATAAAATTTGAAATGTTCTTATTTCTTACTTTGGAAGATTAATGTCCACTTTAGCAGTTAAAAAATATAAATAGATCCATCTATGACATTTTCCTCTATTAAAGCCATTAAAGTTGGCATGGACTAATTGGGAACAGAAAGGGCGAAATACTCTGTAGTTTCACAATACAGTCTTCTAAAATACTCTTATGGAGAAAGAAGATGGTCAATGTAACTTTTCCTTCTTGAATGTTACTTTTCATTTTCTCTTCCCTTTCTACAATTTGTTGTATCTATCAATTTTAACATTAGGATGAGTAAACTAGGAACAGGTAGAGGTATTTACATACTGATACATCTTGGTACAATCTGGTGATTTTTTACACATGAAAAAGTAAAAGTTAGTACACAGGTTAGTGGCTTTTGAGACTTTTTCCCCTTAAAGATTTTCTAACTATCGTTATTTATTGTAAGTTGGCAAATATTAACAACATATGAAAAGCCAAATACTTTAGCAATTTAAAATACAAATTTTAATTATTAAATAAGGATTATGTGATACATTCAAAAAATAAAACACATTCACCCTCCAAATCTTTCTGCAATATTTTTGCATTGTTTATCTCACCAAGCACACAGCACTCCCTTTTTACTTAAAAACATCAGAGAATTGCACAGACTCAGTATCGTGCAAAACCTTGGAAACATCATATATCTACTAAACACATTTCCTCGATGTTCCTTTAGAAATCCGGGGGGAGGTGATTTTATATTTCTGCAGTTTACTGAAATTTCTTATATTGCCAGAAAATTCCACAACTGCATATTTTAAAAATCAAAAAAGTATTACAAGCAGAAAATTTCACAGTTTATTTATTAAAGGCCATTGGAATTTGAAAAAATACAGCATTAAGAACACGTATGAAAATGGCAACGCTGCTTGGGTGAAAGATTGTTATGAGCATGGTTGCCTGAAGAACGGTTATGAATACGGTTGCCTCAACTTGGCACATTCTGAAAATTTGATGACTTCTATCAAGACAGTTGTTATAATGCATAAAGTCGACAAGTAATATTAATTGTAATTATTCTAATCAACCATTGTGTGTGATTCATTTGAAGCTGTAATTCACAAAATTCTACATATGTTAACTCTTGACATCAAATGTAAATGAACCATATGACAGTAGCAGAATCCAAAAACATGTTTGTATTCAAACACCTTTTTTTTGTTGGGATGAATGAAGACTGTATAGCCATTTTGGTTCTCAGCTGTGTTTTAATTTCATGAGCTGATTATTCAAACACAATCTTCCTCAGTAAAAAAAAAAAAAAAAAAAAAAAAAAAAAAAAAATTAGAAAAGTTGCTTTTTATGTCATGGGCAAAGCTAAACTCATTAAATCCATTGCAGTAAACAGAAACAAACAAAAAGAAAACTGACAAATTAAAAAGGCATGATGTGCAAGCAATGGTTTTAAAGGCAATGATTGCCAGAAGAGAAAACACCACCACCTGGCCCCAAGAAAATACAACCAAATTGTATATTGTATTTATAGTTATACAAAAATTATAATTTAATTTATATAAAAATTTGTATTTATATTTATATAAAAATTAATTATATTTGTATTTATATAAAAAAAATCAAGATGTATGGCTTTCATGGAAATGTACTGTAGAAACAATTTAAAGTAGAAAATAAATATTTAATGATCTTAAAATAGCTTTTAAAATAAAAAATTATATTCAAAATTCAAAAGTGAAATATTACAACATGAATTAACACTTTAAAATTTTTTATCAAATTAAAAAAAATGAAAGCATGAGATGAATATTGTAAAACAATCTTGTAAATTTAATATTAATAAAAATCACAAAGATAAATACACTTACCACTTCTATTATAAAATTTTTTGATAAATTCAGTTCTACTAAAGATTTCAGCCCTCTCAAACCACTCATTTGAGTCAGCTGATTTGATGATAGATTCAATAACCTCAGCTCGTAAAGGTGATTTATGTTACTAATTTCTTTGACCTAAAAAAAAGTATTATATATATATGGGTTTATTTATTAAAAAAAATCAGTATTTTTCTACGTAAAAATTAAAATAATTCTGTAAATATCTTCAGATTACAAAAACAGCTGCAAGAATACTTAAGAAGAGAAAAAGGAGAAGAAAAGCTTTCAGAGCTGGCCACTGATTTAAACACATACTTTCATAACAGAACAAGCTTTGATATATGTAAACAGATTCACATAGCATCATGTGGATGCAAGATACACCCTACAGTTTTGTATAGCTTCGAAGTGGAAAGCAAACTCTGCATGGCTAGCAGAGAGGCAAAGTAGAGAAAGAAAAAAGTTCTGCACAAAAGTAGCAAAAGTATTTATACACTTGAATTTTTTTTTTTGGTTTAAATTTTGAGCTCTGCGATTGGATGACAGCCATCTACAATGCAGATGGTTTGCATAAACAGGCATGAATGAATTAATTTGCAAAGATGCAGTCCAGAAAAACTAATATAAATGATTTAGAACAAAAAGGGGAGATAGCCAAATTAAAATGGGGAATAATTGAACTGTTGCCAAATTTAAGCTGAAAATTTTGAGTTACATATTTTATATCTTACATCTTGCCCCTTCAAATAGAAAAATGTTTATAAAAAAGCCTTTTTATAAAAACATTAGGGTGTTAGCAGAACAAGAGAAACACAATTTGGGGAAATATTATAAAAAATTTTATGTAAATTTTGAATATAAGTCTTAATCTGATTTACTACAGCAAATAAAGAATTTTAAGATTTTAAAAAATATTTAAGGGAAAATTATCAAGATAAATAATTATACTTTTGAATTTATGTTGAAAATTCTTGATTACTGCTAAGAATTTTATAATTATTTTGAGAATGATGTTAATATGAAAAATAAATGAAATAATTTTGAAAAACTGGTATAGAATTTGGTAAATAATGTCAACATTAATTAATAATTGTATGGAAAGAAAGATTATAAGTAATAACTAAGTAGATTATAGATATGCTTTGTAGGCTTCCATATTATGAAAAAAAATTAATTTTTTTCTTCTCATTATTTTATTTTTTATATAAGGAATGATTGGTCTAGTTAAAAAAAAATCGATTTGCTTCATACAAGAAACAGAGGCCTTTGTAAGTTAACTGCTGAAGCATTCTTTTAACCATTGGTGGTTAATCATAAATTAATTAAGGTGAACTTGCCTAATAATGGATATGTTTGTATACCGGGAGAAAGCTGTGTGGTCTTACAGTTTGGTGTAAAATAAGAAAATTGAAAATGTCATAATAATAATAAAAAACCTAAATTCAGTAATACACTGTAAATGATGTTAAAATACAAGTTATAATAATAAAAATCTGAACTTTCCTTTTTAACATTTCTTTTTTTTTTTTAATTATTATTGTAGGGTAATGTAAAATTTCTTTTTATTTACTAAATTTGTAAGACCTAATTTGAATACACAAGTTACTTGTCTTAATTTGAATTTGAGTTTTTGTATACTTATTTTTATTTTAGTTGCATTATCTAAAGAATTTTAGGGCCATAAATCATAATTAATAATTTTGAAATATTTATACAATGCTAAAAGCCACTTATCTTGTATAAAGTATGGAGGTTTTTAATTGTTATTATATGTAAGCATCCCATAGTCATAAACAAGTAGTTTTTTGAGGACCTGCTCATTTTTATCACTGTTATTGTATTGTTTTTCCTTAGTTTTCTATGTTATTAATTTCTTAAGTTTATGTGACATTGCTTTATAATAAAAAAATGTGTAATGTTTATAATGAGTAAATAATTAATTTCGCTGTAATATAATTTTATGAATATGAATTAGGAAAAAAAAATGGCTTTATATCGACTAACACAATTTTTATAAAAGTCTTTCATGCCAAGGACCATTATGATATTCACACAAAGATTTCAAGAACTGTGCACTTTTACAATTATTTCTTGAAAAAATTAGGGAAGTCTTTACAATACTTTCACAAAAAAATGAACTTGCAAAGTGTTAAAATAGGACTGAAAATTTCAATAGAACTTCAAATTTTGCATTCATTGGTTAAAAGTATTATATTCAAAATTTAGATACAAATTTTATGACTTTGTACAAAATTATATTTCTCTTGTTCTGCTGGCTATCTAATGTTTTTATTAAAAGAATTTTCTGTCACTTTTTTCTCTTTGAATGGAGGAATATATAAGATAAAATAAGTCACTCAAAATTATTCTCTTCAATTTGGGAATAGTTTTTTTTTATTCTACATTTTAATTTGGCCAATTCCCCTTTCTATTCAAAATTGTTTATAATAGTTTTTCAGGGATGCATCTTTCCAAATTAATTCATTCATGCCAATTGTCCTGCATTGTGGATAGCTCAAAATTTAAACAAAGAAATCAAGGCTATAAATAATACTGCTACTGTTGTGGAACCCCCCCCCCTTTTTTTTCCTGTTTTGCCTAGCTGCTAGCCAGGCAGCATTTGCTTTCCACTTCGTCTTTTGTCTAAGATGTAAGCTGTATAAAATTGTGAAGTGCATTTTGCTAATTAAAGAATTAAGGAATGCTGTATGAATCCATTTATGTGTATCAAAACTTGTTCTATTATGAAAAAAATATGTATTTAAATCAGCGGCACCGTCTGAAAACTTTTCTTCTCTGTTCTCTTATCTTAAGTATCCCTGCACTTGTTTTTAAAATCCTTTAAGTCCTCTATCTCATAATTACATTTTATATATGAGTTAACAGATTAACACAGCAATAATTTTCAATGTAAAAATTAAAAAGAATAAAACATGAGCAATAATAAAATATAAATGCAACCTCCATGCCATAACAGCATCACAATAAACAACTTACAAATTTCAAAAGGATGCCAAAATAATACCTCATTTCCACTTAAATCCAGAGAATCCAGATGGTGCAAACTCTGAAGTCCATCAATATACCGGATTCTAAATCAAAAAAATAATATCATTAATTAGAACAAAATCTATCTACCTAACCTTGCCTCTCTGCATATCTCTCTATATAAATATGAATAAATACAAAGTAGTTTTAAACTCAATCCAACTGCCCGCTGATAGCAGCAACAAGTGGTGGTAACGATAGTTGTTAGTTCAGAAGCTAATTTTATGCATCTACTTCTTTTGTTTCACAAACATCCTGATGATGATGCAGTGAAACATGTAAATTTCTTTTTTCCTTTTCCATTTTAGTTTCAACAATTATTTGCACTTTTCATGCAATTTCAAACTCTAATTCAGCACTAATGCAGCTGAGATTTTATTTATTAAATTAAGCAAATAATTAATACAAACAGTACAAATATTTTTTGGAAACTGAGAATGTTAAAAAACTTAAAAGTGTAAGCCAGAATTTTTAAATTAATGCATCCAAAAGGAAGTTTTATTAAAATACTTAAAAATAAATTGCATTATTAAAACAGAATTAAAAGAATTGTTGCTAATTTTATGATTTTAGATTGACTAACATTTTCACTGTAAATTGTAAAGTGAGAATTAATTCACAGTAAGTTATATTCTAGATATAATTATTTCTTTTTCTATTTTTTAATTTTTTTCACTTTAAATCAAGATTTTCTTTATTTGTATTTGAAATATCTTACAAGTGATTAGAAGTACTTTCAATTTAACATTTTAGAGTGCAATAGTAAGAATCCTAGAGACACAGAAGATTATTCTTGATATTTTGAAAGCAAGTTAATTATTTTAATAAAAAATACATACTTTCTCCTAGTCAAAAAGGTAGAAATGCCTGTGTTCTCAACCTAAATTTATGTAAGCTCCATTCAGAGTTAATTACTTAAAAATAACAATGCTTATAATTGTAATATTTCAGACTAATTTGAATGTTAATAATTCCAAAATGCAAACTTTAAATGTTTAATGTTGAAATTAATTGAAAAACTTAATGGATCAGCAGTGATCATTAAGCACAAAATCCTACTACAAAAATAAAACTGAAAATGTAGCATATTCATAATTCATTAGATTGATTCATATTTGCTCATTATACCAAAAATATAAACTATTTAACAATTATTTCTTAGTAAAACTTTAAACGTGAATAAAGATAAATTAGTTATTTCTTTTTTAAAAGCAAAGCCAAAATTACCTGTTTCTTGCAAGTGTGAGCATTCTTAGAGAAAACAAACTATCCAAGCCACTGATCTGTTCTATTAAGTTATCTGATAGATCAAGGAACTTAAGATTTGAAAACAACTCCAAGTTTTCAATAACTGATATTTGATTTTGCTGTAGGCTGAGTAAATGAAGTTGGTCTTCGCCTTCAATGACTGGGCAATGTGTCAAATTACTTCTGAAACAAGGGTGCAGTGCATTAAACAGCAGAACACAAAGTATACAGATTCCATACACACTTAAAATAAAGTTTAATATATATATATATAAATTTCAATACACTAGGTGTTGATAACTGCAACTTGCAAGATGCTTGTGATCCAGATTATCTAACAAAAGACTTATTTTAATAAAATTTGGTAAAATTCCAGAAACATAAAATTAAAAAAAATAAGTTAATATTGAACTTACAGAAATACAGTAATTAAAGAGGAATAAACAGTTAAATTTTAATCTTGTCTGGTTTTACTTTCCATATAATTTGAAAATACTTTAAATGGAAACTAAACATAAAAATGCATCACATTTTCAAATAAAAAGATTGGTAACTAATTTACAGACAGTCTGGTGTTTTGCCTCATACAGAAACACTCTAACTAACCTCAGAATATACAGCTCACATATATTTAACAATGTAAAGCAGGGTTTCTTAAACTTTTTTCAGTCGCGACCCTTTTTTTTATCACTGAGATTTTTTTTGCGACCCCAAGGACCCCATAATACACTGCTGGCCACCCAAATTGCAACACCGAGAAAGACAAGAGATAACACAAAAAAATTTATTTAGTAGATCACATGTTGACCAAGTATCAATTGATTAAATTTATAGACTTCTGTGAAGTGTGGTTCCTTCCAGAATCAGTAGCCAGAGTAGCTATCGTTGCTGGAGATCACCGCTGCCACACGCCTCGGCATTGATTCAAAGAGACTTTGTATGTGTTCTTGTGGTAAGCAGACAAAGCAGCTTCTACGCGTTGCCAAAGTTGATCTGGTGTGGCAGCTTGGGATGTAATCTGAGTCAATTGTTTAGCAACCATCGACTACATGTTTTCTATCAGCGAAAGATCTGGAGAGCGAGCCAGCCAGGAAGCAATTCAATCTGGCAATTGACGAAGAATCTTGGACAATGTGTGCCACGTTTGGTCGCGCATTATCCTGTTGAAATATGGCTGTGGGCAAGCCCTGAAGGTCAGGAAGGCCAATTGGCTCCAAAACCTCGGAGACGTAGCGCTGGCTGTTTAAAGTACCGGCAAAGCGTATTAGAGGAGTGCGAGAGTGATATCCAATACCACCCCATACCATAATACCCGGTGCAGGACCAGTGTGGCGGTGCATAACGCATCTCTCTCCACGGTGTCTTCAGCATCCTCTCTCCACTGTGTCTCCAGACTCAAATCCAGCCATCGTGGTGTTGCAGACAGAAGTGTGACTCACCAGTAAAGACAATTTCATTCCATTCTGCCATCCACATCCTTCTTTCATCGCACCATTGGCGGTCTGTGGTTCTGTGTCAAGGGTAGACGAAGCAATGGACGTCTTGTGAACAGACCACTCTGCTGTAAACGGCATCGAATGGCACACGCAGACACTGGATGATGCATTATAGACTGTATGTGCTGTGCTAATGTTCGTGATGTGACTTAGCGATCTATCACTGCCATGCACACAATGTTCCTGTCATCACATGAAGTGGTGCACTGAGGTGGATGCGATCGAACACGTCGGTCCGTTGTACCTTCCAGCATCCAACAGTCACATATCCGCATTACAGTTGTTTGGTTTCGTCCAACACGACTACAAATTTCCCTGAAAGATGATCCACACTCACTGAAGGCCACTATCCTTCCTCTGTTGAACTCAGATACTTGATCAAACGATGATTGCTGTTTACTTACTTAATTGATCTTTTTTTTTTTTTTTTTTTTTTTTTTTTTTTTTTAACCACAAGAAAAACACAATTGCTGAACTTGAAATTGTCGAAAACTCCAAGCCTCCTTACTTTAAAGTGGCGCCACAGGCATGCGTGATGTGCGTTCTGAGCTGAAATTCTAATCATTTGCATATCTCACCTCTGCTAATGCATGTTGTAAATTTCATGTTATTTGCATGCTTCCTTCAGGGTGTTGCATTTACGAAATTTTGTGTGGCCCCATAAGTAACAGATGAAATGACGTTACTTATGTAGAAAGCAAGTAAAATGAGCGTTTCTATAATAAAAAGAATGCGTCGAAACGTTTCCCTTTTTTCTTTGTCTATACTGTCTTATCTTTATCCATTTTCAGGTACATTATGTAAAACAGGGATCATACACATTTCTGCACATGGAAAATAAGTACTTTTAAGGACTTTTAAGGACCATGAATGAAAAAAATTAAGGACCTATGAGCAAATGGGAACTGAATAAATTCAATTAAAAATATTATCTATGCCTGAATTTCACTTTTGAAATACCATCCTAAAAATAAAATAGATCCTTAAGTACACAAATTAATTAATTAATAAGTTTGAGAATAAAATAAACTTTATGCAATTTATCAAGTAGTGTTTAATATTTTACACTTATGATAGTTGGACATATTTGAAAGAAGATAAGTGACATTTATGTTTTACTAACAGTTAGCTTTATGTTGATTTTTTTTTATATCTAATTTTATCACATACTTAATCAGTCTAGAGGTTTAGTAAGTAGCACATAGATTTTTATGTCAAACGGCATAGGTTAAAATGAAAAGTAAGATCATAATCAGCATGATTCATAACAAAAGACTAAATGTTTTCACCACTGCTGCTTGTCTAGAGAGAGACCTGCTGATTAGAACTAACCTGTAAGGCCAGGCATGGTTGGCAAGTGTTGCATGTTAGTCAGGCTCTGTTTGATGCAGTTAGTGTCATAGTTTCGTGTAGAGTTCCAGGGGTTGTAACCCAGTTAATATACTTTAAGGTTCCAAAAAGCGATTAAAGCACCAAAGGTGATAAATTGTTTTGTATTATTTTAAGTCTCACTGGATACAAAGAATAAGTTTTACTTGAATTTTTACATTGTGTTTTATCTTGTGACCACAGTGAGTATTAAAGTTGTTTGAGTACGTAGAACATGATATTTAATAAATAAAGGCAACACACAAAACGTTAAAAAAACATCCCTTTAGACGTAATTTAAAATCTGAAACCTTTCAGGTTTATTTATTTTTATTTTTATTTTATTTTATTTTGAGCAGACCATGTCCAAAAGACAAACCATGAAAATACAAGCAATCCATCACATGAAAAAATATAATGACATATGAAAATTTGAATCCATACACGCCGGAATAAAACAGGTTTAACAAAATTGTAGCCTCGAAACCATAAGAAATCAGAAAAGCTTAAAAATCTAATAAAAAGTGTTTTCTATTTAAGTGGACTGAGTTCAAAAATCAAAACATGTAAAACATTCTCTTTCTGATTTTTTGCTTTTGTTTGCACATGGTTTGCTACCAATTGAATATGAGATAGATTTTATTAAAGTCTATCCCATATTCAAATGGTCCTTTCTATTAGTCTCGAAAAGGCATTCTGCATCGAATCACTTTAAATGTCCAAATCACTTTTCAAACTGTTGCCACCAAATGTTATCGCACTGTATTATTTTCTTTTCAGATTTTCTTTTAATATTTTTATTTTCTTTTATTTATTTATTTTACAGAAAATTGTGTGAAACAAGATAATTTTTCCAATAGTCTTTAAAGAAATGTGATTTCTAAACTATAAAAATATTCATAAATATTAAATATGTATGATAGGTTTCCTACACAGATGTAATGTAGGCAAAGAAGTCATGCCTTCTGAGGAACAGTCCATAATTATATAATGCTCCCAGGTAGTAGACCTCTTTTTTGAATGGAATATTGCATGGCTTTTCAAATTGGGCTGATACGTTGATATTTATTGAATAAACAGGGAATTCCATAAACCGATACTCATTCAAGCCATAAATAGGTAAGGTAAGCACGTACAGTTGTGCACATTGTCTTGTTCGTAAAGACCAAACTTATCAATTCCATTCATGAATGAAAGTTTGTAAGCCACTCACATAGCATTAATATAACTTTTGTTCATTACAGAATATTTTAGACACACATGATGGATTTTCAATTTAAGCTAGCTCAATACATTTTGCGCTATTATGAAGCCACCACGAGCCTATACTTCCTAACATGATGAATTCTGTGTTCAAGAATTTTCACCACTATGGGCTCATCTATCTGCCCAAGAAATATGATTTGTCAGACTATACTACTCATTTTGTTTGTCCAACTCCTCTGTTGGTATTCTCAAGTCTAGGCAAGGTACAAGGTTCTGTGTTATGATGGCCTTCAAGCTGAACATAGATAGTTAAAATATTATATAGGGAGTATCAGTCTTAGCAGAAACTCCAAAATTGAAATTTGATTCATTTAGAGAAGTCATGCACACTTGTTGCTTGAAATGTCTCTTGTCAAAATCATTTACAGTCTTTTGACAGCCAGTCTGCTGCTATGAATTCAGAGGTTTATTAGAATTCTTGCATTCAAATTACATCTTTTAAATGGTCAAGTGTAGGACTTTTTTTCCCTTTTTTGCTTGTACACTGTGCCCCCCCCCAAAAATGAGACAGTTCTATATCTCTTGTTCTACTGGGCCGACTGACGAAATTCAAATTATGTTTTTCATGTCTCGAAACCGCAATTTACGATACATACTAAATTTATATATAGCATTGTTCTAATATAGGTATTTTGACACAATCTGAATCAGACTTTTTCTGAAAGGACATGCCAACTTTTCTCCATATTTCGATTCACTGTGAGCACCTATCAAGACAATCTCCATCTTTACTAACTAATCAACTTTTTAAGCTTCCATACTCATCAAAAATATTAGCAGATTTTGGATTAAAACATTTCAGAAAAATGAGGCTACTTATTGGTTACCCAGTATCCACCAATACGTAACCAAAAATATCACTCATAACTCTGGTTTTTAGCATTAGCAAACCTAGGTATTGTTCCAGATTCTTCCATAAAGATTACAATTTTATTTCTTTTCTTCCCTTGTGAATGTCTTTTGGGGAGGAATGTTTTTTCCTCTTTAATGCCAATATCAATCCTAAATTGGCCATCTTCATGCAAACAGTGGAACACGAACAAGGATCATGAAAATGAAGGAATAAGTGGCAACTTGGTATAGCTCATGATCACTCATCTTCTTACTTACCAAGTTTATAAAGAGGCAGAAACAAACTGCAAAAAATAATAATTTGTTTGATACCCATCAGAGATTAAAAACCCAGATTTTTGTCACCAAAAAATGCTAATAGATGTTCGTGGTGTATTACCAAGCACCGAATAACCAACAATTTAAGGAAATGAATACAGTTGAATATTCCATAAGGGATCCTCTATCCCAGTACCCATTAATGAACAATTCATTTCTAAACGTTTCTTTAAAAACAAACATTTAAATTTTGATAATTACTAAAAGTATCTGCCAAGTTAAAAAAAAATAACAATGCATCTATAAAACGCATAAAGGAAACAGGTAAATCTTTTAGTATATTTTTCTCTAATTCTAGTACCATTTCTTAAGAACATAGCACAACTACTTCTCCATAAATAAAAGAACTGTCTTTCTATTTAAAACGATTTACAAAAATTTTACTTATGTCCTTACTAATATGAATGATATATAGACAACATGAAATCTGGCATCGCTATAAATTTACCTTTCTATAGAAAGACGATCTGGATCAAGTGTCCTCTCTTCAGAAGACCGTTTAGCATAAATTCTCCCATCATCTGCTATACGTATAGCTACCTTAGATTTCCCTACAGAACAGATACTTCTGAATGAAAATATGTTGATTATATTTATCACACTGCATCCAAGTAACATGACAATAAAAGAAACACACAAAAAAACCAAAATTACAAATAAGAATCTTAAAATTAAAAAGTTTAAATAATTAGTTTAATAACACACCACTTTATCAATCATCAAAAATAAACAAACTATAATGTTTTGAAATTAAAATGTCCTTTATTTTTTTAATCTAAATGTTTTTTAAATGTCATCATCAAAAATAAGCAAACGATAATGTTTTGAAATTTAAATGTTTTTTTAATATGTGATAAAAAAGATTTATAATATAAAAAAGTGTAAAAATAAATGAATAAAAAGAGAGAGAAAAGAGTAAAAAACAGTTAAGGCTATCAATTAGTTGTATAGTAATATTTCCAACATTTTTATAATTTTTTTGGGGCAGGGAGGCTAAAATGAAAAAAATTTATATCTAGGAAAAGTGGTATTTTTTATCTTAAGAATAAGAATTATGCTTTACCTTGTAATTCACTAAAGCGGGATCTTCCCGAAAGTTTTCTCGCCAGGACCCATTGAGCTCTGTATGAGGACGGTCCAGCATTGACAGGAGAAGATGAAATAGATGTTGATGTGGCAGTTGTTGCATCTTCTACCTTCGATAGTGAAGTGCAGGCATCAGAGACATAAGATGTAGAGGAAACCGGACTGGAAGATGCACGGCTGGAACCTCTGGATGGAGATGGGGATTGGTTACGGTTTAGCGTACTTTGTACATTTTTTATGTCATCTGTAAAATGAAAGACATTTAACTGTAACAGTGCAAAAGTTAGCACAACAACATCATATCCAACATGAGTTATAGGTATTAAAATTTCTCCTTGGACATCAGCCATCAGGTACTGCTATCTTTTTTTTTTTTTTTTTTTTTTTTTTTTTTTAAGGTTATTTTTAAATTGTGAAATTATTAGAAAATAAACTTATTTATTAAGTTTCTGTAATAATTTTAAACAATTTTGCATAACAATAACTTTAGTGTAACTCATCAGAAGAGAACATATAAAACTGTTGTTCTTCCATTACAATCATTACTAAACACGTCCAGTGACTTCATAGTTATTTTCTGCCACAGAACAAAATATATCAAGTTCTCATAGAAAATCCTTCATTTTCTATGCACCAATATACTTCTGGCAAGATGTGCACTCTAGTACTACTTATTTGATTTGCATTTATGTGAAGTCATGTGGATGCCAGAATAAGACAGAAAGCCATTTGACAGATCTTAACTGGTATTGTTACTTAGTGGGCACCTTTAAATTAAATATGTAATTCTTATTTCTAATAACAGTGTTCTTGATTTCAAAGTAAGCACTTCAATAAAAAAAAAATTAAGTTTCAGCCTACTTTATTTTTTCTTTGTTGAAAAAACTAACATAACAGACCAGTTTCTCACATTTTGTAAAGTTTAAGGACCATAGTGTCTTATAAACAAAATAATCCAATTTTACATCCAAATTTGTGAAAATTATTGATCATATGCTAATTTTTTATTAATATTTGCATTAAAAATATGAATAAAATTAACTCATATAACTTAAAATATTATTAGGATGGTTGAAGATCTAAAGACTCATTCCAGTTTTTAAAATAAACTAATTGCAATTCAGTTTAAACATCTACTTTTTTATTTCAAATTTTACTTACATTTTATAAATTACATCTCATTTTATTTACATAAAAATTCTTTCATTAAAATATACTGAAATTAAAAATTATTGCTTATGAAAATTTCAAAATTTACTAAATATACTAATGACATTAATAAAGCAAATGAAAATTGAAATTATTTTATCAATTATATTTTGATATTATAACCCAAGATTAAAATTCATGAATCCAAAAACAGATTAATGTATGTGAAGATGGAACAATCCTTCTGAAAACCCTCTTAACTAAAACATAACTGAATTTAAAATCATTACTAGTAACTTTACAGTGAAATAAAAACTGCAATCCAAGTAAAAAAAAAAAAAGAGGACCAACCTGTTCTAGTTTGAAATTTTCTTCTAGGAGAAGCTTTAGATGTTTGTGACTTCGATGCAATTTTTGGAGGAGTCTGAAAAGATTTTAATTATGAAATTATTTCAATGAAAGAAACTGAGTTCCATTAAATAAATTTACATGACTATAAACAAATGTGAAGTGAAATTACAATATGAAGATTAATAACTTTTCACTCATCAGCTTTTGGAATCGCAGATATTATGATGGATGCAGTTAAGAATTATAATAAGATAACTTGTAAACAAAATAATTTCCAGTAATTCACATATTCGTGTGTTAATATACAAGTGTATGAGATTTATAGCAGTACTTCTGAGTGGATTCATCAAGTGATATAAACACGCATTAATGCCCCTTGCCAGCATCACCCAAGTCCAGTTTGGGCAACTACTATGTGCAGTATTTATGATGACCAAACTGAATGACTGGGCAGAAGAAAAATTAGTGTTTCTATTTCATCAAACCCAAACTAAGTTCATTTCTGTTTTAAGATATTCATTTAAGACTTAATTCACTATTTTCATAATAGATGGCATACTGTCCTACTTCACCAATTTCAGTTGGGGAAAGGCATAAGCGTGTTTAGCTGCTCAGGCAAAGAAAGACATGTATTGAGAATGAGTTTTGTTTTCCCATGTTTAGTTTCGGTTGTTATTTCAGTTGTTTTTCCATCAATTTTATACCAAAAAGTTTTCTTGTTTTGCAATGTCTGATTCAAATGTTGATGAGGAATACAGTTTAGGTTCTTTGGGATTGAATACCGATATTTCTACCAATGAATACATTGAAAGTGAAGATGATAGTAATATTTCTTCATGTAGAGATTGGAAGCCATTATGTTTGGATAACCTTCCTCCTGCCCCTCCAAAGTTTCCATTTTGGAAAGGTAAAAGGATGACGTGAGACATGAGTTTATCGCAAAGAGTGAAAAATATGGGCTTATGTGATGTACCATGTTTTGGCATATCATAGTGTGAAAGATTAGTGAAATTTGAATATTCCAAATCATATTGTTGTATTAGCATTTGTTTATATTATATTTAGCATCAAAATTCTATTTAATTTGCTGTATTTGAATAACATGTGTCTGTCCATTACTTTTTATGTCAAAATAGTTAATATAGTAGTTATTGCATTTAAAATTTTACTTTTTTTACTAAATAACCATTTTCTAACTTTTATATTGATATAAAAAACAAAAAACAAAATTAAAAATTTATTTTTGGTCACAAAATTTCCATTTTTGGTGTATTTTTCTGAAATATATGCCACTGTTAAGAGGTTAAACATTGCTATGATCATTGAATAAGATTTAAATGTTATCATTATCACATTTCCTGCATCTACATGTTACAATAAAATAATTATGCAACATCTACATTTTAATTAAAAGAAATACAAACTCCATTAAGATTACCCAATAAATAAAAATGAAAAAATATTAAAATTTTGAAAATTATAAAAGTTTCAATGAAAATGAAGAGATTTATTTTTCTTTTTAGAATTGTTCCTTACTTATCCCAATACTTATGTTGCATCATATTTATATAAAAAATGGTAGCATGCAATTGTGTAGCATACTTATAACTATAAAAAACTTTCCATGCTTTTTGGTCTAAAATGAATTATCACAATCAAATGTGAAGGAATAGTCCCCTTCAACTTTTTAACGCTCTCTCTCTCTCTTTCTCACACACACATACAAAACTTAAACAGATAAAAAATGAAGGTACAAATTTAATGCAGCACATTTCCTTTTCTACTTTAAATATTACCCCACCACTCTCCAGAAGCAATATTTTTTCTGATACTGGGAAGAGTTCCACTTCTTTTTTATTAGGCTTGTGATGATAATCATCCTTTGGCTGATTTCGATCCCACTCAACAGCAGTATTTTTGAAAGACCCATGGAAATATCAAAGTTCCTCCATGTCCTTGTTAGAATTTCTTCCCAAAAGAGAATAAGTTTTTTAAAAAATCCATTATATAAATACACTCTTCTCCTTGCCATAAGTAAACTTCATGGGGCATCATAAATCAAACAAGTTTATGAATCTCTAACCCCAAGAGTTATCAATCAACATATGATATGATGTATTCCTTTATAATTCTGATTCCTGCATTTCCTCTTATTTTTTTAGTTAAATAATTTACTTTTTACAAATACGAAATTTGCACATAAATAAACAAAAATTAATTAAAAAATCTTTAAAATTTAAAAAATTACAAAATATGGCAGAAATTATGTAAAAATAATATGTAGATTTAGTTATGCTGCACAGTTTCTGCCACAAACAGCCATACATTATTTTCTTCAGCTGATTTTCAAGTAGGTCTTGTGATAATTTTTCAAAAAAAAAAAAACCTTTCATAAGGTTTAGGATTAAACTCTAAAGGTTTCTTGACTAAGAAGAGTGTTATTAAATCTCAAACATGAAACATACAGCATAGTCAAAGAATGTTCTTATTGTGGAAATACTGTTTATCAAGCTGAAAGGTCATTCAGCTTCAGCACTATTAATAGCGATGTTTCTCCAAATATCTTTACCTTTTTTAATAATATAGACATATTGTTATGCACTTTTCCTGTCAAAATCATTTCAGGGAACCCCACAAAATCTTTCTTTTTTCTTTTTTTTAATTTCAAACTGCAATACGAAAATAAACTGTTTATATCCTTTTATCACCTTGTGGCCATAGGTGTGGTACTTCTTCCATATCCCATGCTTCTCGACAACAAGTATTAAAATTTACTTTTAATTATGCGACATTTTCATTTTTCATTTTATATTTATTTTGTTGTTCGTTTATTTTGTTAATCTATTTTTTAAAGATATCATGAGAGAATTCAATAATGTTTCTTGCAAGAATTTGTGAAATTTATTCTTGCTTTCAATTGTTAATCTTTCAAATCCCTTTAATTTAAAAATAGAATTTATTTGCTTTAAGCAAATAAAAAAAGAACAATGGGCTCACAAATTAAAGAGAAATTTAACAAATTGTTCGTGCAAACCCCCTACAGATCACCACTGTTAACACCACTAATGATTTTGAGGCTAACTACTTCCAACAGGTATTCATCTTTCATATTCAAACAATATTTTTAAATCTCTCATCCAGAACAATATCTTATTAGGTTGCATACTATGAAAATATAAAATTAAGCTTTCCTACTCTTAATTTGTCAGCTTTTAAAAAGAAATAGATTTACCTAAATGTGCTTAAAAATAGCATAAATAAATTTTAAAATAGTTCAAAATCTGCTTTTGTATTCACTAAAAATCTATATTTTTTCATTGACAAAATAGATAATGTTTAATATGATTTGAAATATTTATCTTATTTACATCATAATATGAAACAATCAAAATCATAATTTTACAAAAAACTCTCAATGAAAAAATTCCTACACTAATACAAAAGCGAACAAAACTGTGCAAAAAGCAAAAATTAAATTTTACAAAAATATGCAAAAAAATGTGACTATCTTACAAAAATTATACAAAAATTTGACACAAAAATTATTTCATATGCTCTGAAATAGTGATGCAAAATTAATCATTATGTACCTGTTTTGCCTTTTCTGCTGAAATTACTTTTCCTTCAGATATCACAACACTAAGGCCAAAGACATGGATATCTGCCTACAATTTTAAACTATTATTACTATTTCATGTATTTTATTACATAAATCAAAATCCTCCTTGTTTCTCTTTGTAAATTTTATAAGATGGTATTTCAAAATACCATATACAGAAGCAAATGCTTTTAGCTTTTCAATCACAGTTGAAATTTCTTTCTTAATAATAAAAAAGTAATAATGCACTACAATAATTAAACACTCAGCATTATGTCTTCATCAAATGTTAATGTGAAATATTCAGTAAGCCTGTTTCACTGCATGATATAAACATAAATATGCTAAATACGTTTGCAATACTTGATTTTTCTGTGGGTTTACCTAGAACTATTTGGTTATTTAATAAACAAAGGACAGCACACAGACTTAGGATTAAAAATATTATTTAAAGTAGAATGATTATCTGTAATAAAAATCTTTACTGAAAAATGAAAAAGAAAGGTATTTTCTGATTATCGGCAGTCCCACCAAAAAGTCAAGAAAAAATATTCACAAGGCAAAGTAGTATATTGCCAAAATGTGGAAACCCATGATGTGACAGAAAAGTATTTATGTGGCAACCCAGATACGCATGTAGCACATAACTGTTTTGGATGGTCTGCAATGCCAAAGTTGTATGGTGCCATATCTGTGTAATTCTCTGACTCTCAAAGCAAAGCAAATTACAAGCAGATCACTGTATACATGCAGAAAACAACAGCAAAAAAAGGCGGGGAGAGGATTTCTCGAAAAAGTGCTTTATTACTGATGTTTTTTACTTTTTTAATATTACAGTCAAAAGTCGTTAATATGGACACCCATAATCCGGAATGATCTATAATCTGGACCTCAAAGCTAAAAACTTTCTGCGCATGCGCTGCGTTCACACATGAGCATAGGCGTTTACGCGTGCGCATTTAATGTATAACAGAAGGTATAAGCTAAAATTATTTAATTATCTATTTCAGTTAATGTTGATGATTGCGTTGTTCCTTAATCTTCGAATTGGATCCAGCTTATTATTTTTTGCAGGCTGTAAGAGCAATTTTATAAAAGTAAACTTGAACTTTCGACTATGCCAAATGGAATTTCCGATTCTGGAGCTCACAAAGGATCGTACAAAACGAAAGTATGTTTCAATGTCCCTCAAACAAAAAGTGGAATTGCTGCAAAAAATGGATAAAGACATGAAGAATGTGACAGAGAGGTTAGTGGAAATGAAAAAATTTCGATTGACAAGTTAGTCGGTATTTCTCGGCACAACAATTAACGGGACTTAAACAGCGGAACTTTGTAACTGAACAAGAAATGTGTCTGTTTATAGAATTAAAGAGAAAGTATTATCACATAAAATGAATCAACTTAAACAACTTACATTGAAAGAAATGTTTAATAAAGTAAACAAATAAATATTAAGCTTTTTTTTGTAAATTTTGATACCCTTTAGATCATAATTGTTCTTTATTTCATAAATTACGATTTCATATTTTTAATTTTAGAATTTCTGCATGCCATCTTACGAGATTTAAACTGACGATCTATAATCCGGAATCGCCGAAGTCCTGACGAGTCTGGATTAACGACTTTTGACTGTATTGATGAATTGTTCATTTGGAATTCTTAGTGCACTATCATTATGAAAATAGCTGTTGCCTTTCACACATTAACTTAATGAAATATTAGTTGCCAACAAGTCTGGAAATGCTCTCCAAAGTCACAAACAAGTTTACCACTTTCCTGTCAAGATGTCAGTATTTAGGAAATACCAAAAAAGTTACAAATATAGAAAATATATACCTGATATTTTATGTAAATATTGATAAAAGTATGTAGCTGATCATTTTTATCATTCACAATATGGATGACTAAAATCTAATAAGTTCTGAAATTTCAAATTTTAACCAAAAATATTCAATTTTAAAATATTTTAATATATATACATATATATATAAGAACATACAGAGAGAATTGATTTGCATATATATAAATTAATTCTATAATGTGCTGATCATTGAAAAAGTACTAAAAATAGCGACTTTTAATGAAAATTCAACAATATCATCAAAACAGATCAATTTATATAAAAAATTAAATCAATATGCTAAATAAACAAAATGTTTTCCAAACTGAAATTCAAGCTTAAATTTACAAGTAATGCTTCAGTTACCTTCATAAGAAAAGCAAAACATAATACATTCTGTTGCAAAAAAATATATGCACCCAGAAAGAAATAAGCCACAACTTTGAAACTCAGCAATAGTATAGTATTCAAATAGATAAACAAATGATCAAAAACTAGAGCAAAAAAAGTGTTTTATTTATTAGTAGCAATACAAAGAATGTGAAAATCAGTAGGTAGCAAAGCCACCCTTGGCAGCTATACAAGCCGATATTTGGGAATGGAGTCTATGAAGTTGCAAATGTTTTTCTGTGATAGATGTGCCACAAATGAAACAACATGTCAGCAAGTTAGGATGTATTTGGATAAGGCTGAATTTGTCTGCCAATATGTTCTAAACATGTTCAATAGGCGAGAGGTCTGGGGACCTGGCAGGCTATTCAAGGACATTAACACATTGAAGATATTGTTAGGAAAGTCATGCTGTGTGTGTCTGAGCATTGTCTTGCTGGAAAACAAAGTCTGTATGACCTGCTACCATAGGAGTACAACTGGCTGAAAAATGTCTCAATGTATCTGCAAACAGTCAAGAGTACCTCACAGCATGACTAATGGTAAATGGCTGTCCCAGCTGATTGCTCCCCAGACTGTTACACCCTGTGTCCTGGTTGTGTGTTGCTTTGTAACACACGGTACATTTGACCACTCACCTTTCCGTCTCCAGACATATATACGGCAGTCATCAGCATCGAGAGAAAAGTGCGATCTGTCACTGAAGATTACATTTCTCCAACTGGAGATTGTCCAACTTGAGCGAAAGCAGTACCATAAAAGACAACATTACTTATGGTGGACAGTCAATGGCAAGAATCTTAATGGACATCGAGATCTAACCCCAGCATCATTTAGTCTTCTAAGAATCATATCCCTGGATATCTCCAGATCTCTGTGAGTTGGAAAAAAGCATTGAATTGATGATAGCATAACTGTTGCTGCTTTCATGGCAGCTCTTCTAACTGCACGATCATCTCATTCATTGATGGCCCAGGAACATCCCAAACTACTACAGAAGCTGACTATGCCTTTGCTGAAGCACTCGTTCCAACAATGTTGTTTTACTAACTTTCAGCCCAATGATATGAAAAAAAAGTCTGACAACTGTTCATAACACCATCGAGTACATATTAAAGGCATCTTTCCTTACAATGTTGTGTTTTCAAGCCATCAGCTCAGTTGTAAGTGCTCATCACTCGAGACAACTACCCTTTTACATTCTACTAGCTGTGTACTTAAGACGTGCATTGTATTGCTCCACGGTGCTGACTGGTGCTGGAAGTTTAATCATTTACCCAACCCACCAAACCGTATTTACATGCCACATTTCACAGTTGTGGATCAATGTTTTGTGGGTGCATAGATATATATATTTTCAACAGAGTGCATATTTTATAATTAATTCAGAAATATTATGTCTGCATACAAATACTTAATAGCTCAGTAACAAAATTTTCCTACACCCCTTTATTAGCCACTTTCAGCAACGCAACTTCATTACTATCATGAAAAACAATTCTGTACAGGCTCCCAGTTATAAAGTTCTGTAAGTCTAAAGTCGTTAATTCGGACACCCATAATCCGGAATGATCTGTAATCCGCACCTCAAAGTTACAAGCTTTCTGCGCATGCGTCGCTTTGACGTAAGACCTTTACGGCGCGTAAGACCTTCGCGTAAGACCTTTACGGCAGCGAATATGGGTGTGCGCAAGCGCAGAATACGTTTACGCATGCGCGTTTAATGTATAACGGACGGTATAAACGAAGCTAAAATTATCTAATTCAGTTAATGTTGCAGATTGCGTTGTTCCTTAATCTTCAAATTGGATCCGGCTTATTATTTTTTGCAGACTGTTAGAGCAATTTTATAAAAGTAAGCTTGAACGTTCGATTATGTCAAATAGAATTTCCAATATATATTTACTAATATGTAAAAGATCTACAAAGCGAAAGTATGTTTTGAAATCCGAAATCTGTTTATCAATTTCACGCTGCTCTGCGGCAGGGGGGGGCAGAAATGCGGCGGCGCACAATGAATTGGAAGTTGATCTGTCAGCACTATCCTTATCTTCAGGGTAGATGTTTTTATTTTATTTGGCTTATAATTCTTTACTGAATGTAGTATTTCATCTCGATGTACTCCATCTTTGATATGATTTAAATCAAATTCCTCATCATTATAATTCGCTTCCGATAGCGAAGAAAGTGACAGAGGTTATTGAAAATGAAAATATTTCAATTGACAAATTAGTCGGTAGACACAGCAATTATAGGACTTGAACAGCGGAACTTTTTAACTAAACAAGAAATTATGTCTGTTTAATAGAATTAAATAGAAAGTATTATCACATGAAATGAAGCAACTTAAACAACTTACATTGAAAGAAATGTTTAATAAAGTAAACAAATAAATATTAAGCTTTTTGTTTTGTAAATTTTGATACCCTTTAGATCATAATTGTTTTCTTTATTTCATAAATTACGGTTTCATCATATTTTTAATTTTGTAATTTCTGCATGCCATCTTACCAGATTTAAACTAATGATCTATAATCCGGAAAAATCGATAATCCGGAATCGCCAAAGTCCCGACGAGTCCGGATTAACGACTTTTGACTGTACCAAGAAACTACCGACAATATCTCAGTACAGGTAAAATTGCCAAGTATACTTTTTGCAGTGCATGGTTCCAAGTACTTCCCTGATGTGATTCAAAGTTTGGAAGAATATATGGAGATGCACAAGCAATGGAAGAACTATAATGGGCAACTTTGATGGATTTGCCCTGCCAGATTTAAAATTGAGAATAATCCAGATAAAAAAGACTTTATACTTCATAGAGATCAAATGGTGTATCATAGGGGTGTCAGTACAGGAAGCATTACCCTCATCTATCAATTTACAACTGTAAATTATTTGCTGTAACAATAACAATCATCACAAATGAATATTTTCAGGAATAGCTTGCATAAAAAACTGTTCCAGGTTTTGCTGATGTACAGAAAAGGAGACAGAGCAAAATGATCATTACACAAATTAATGAAGAGCAAGTATGATCTACTGATGTCAGCCAAGTAGTTCAAATATAATAAATTACAGCAAAAATGCAATACAACAAAAAGATTACATGTGGTTACCAGATTTTTAAGAATGATTTAGGTCTTTTAACATTAATATTAATGAGATCATTAATATTATATGTTATAAATTTTAATTTCATTACTACCTATACTATTTTGTTTTTGATAAAAATTTCTGGCAAGTTAGAAGGCGAGAAGTAGCAAAAAATTCTATTCTGCATTGATTTTATCATTTTGAACATATAACGGTGCATAAGTAATTTGATGTAGAATATTGTTCTGCACAATTTGCAGTGCCTTGCAGTAAGTTTTGCACGAATAGATCCAGATAGGATAGGCATAGCAAAGCATGAGATGCAGAAGAGATTTATAAATGAGTAATTCACTGTCAATAGCAAGAATGCTGTTTTGAGCAATTAAGGGGTAGAGTTTGGTCTTATACATTTGAATTCCCGATATCAATTGGCTGATTGATGGAGACATCTTCATTCACTAAAACTATAATTTTGATAGAATGAATAATACAGTACAAAGTCCAAGATCCGGATGTTCATTATCCAGAATGATCTAAAATCTGGAACTCAAAGCCATCACCAACTTTTTCGAATTTATTATTTATTTATTTTGTGTGTGTGTATGTGTGCACGAGCATTTGACTATGTCTTAAAATTAGAAACTAAAGTTACTGACCTAAAACTGCAACAGCATATTACAGTACAAGTGAAAAAATTGACAGTTTCACTCGCACGTGTGTCGGATTTGCGCAATACTTGTGGTGTCCCACAAAATTTTTGTAAATATTATGGGGTCCTGGGAGTCACGAAAAAATCTCAATGATAAAAAGGGTTGCAACTGAAAAAAGTTTAAGAAACCCTAGCTTAGATCAGATAGAAAAATACTACCTTCCCCAGCCACAACCACCCAAAGGCAGAAAGTGTGTTCATGGGTAATGCCAATCAATGTATTGTCCTAAGTCACCATCTGATTCCCTAGCCAGCACGGGTGTTCAAAAGTGATATATAGGAATATATTAGTTGGCAGGAAAATCCTTTAAAGCGTACCTGCTTTCCTTCATCTCTAGATTTTATAAGGGTATTTTTTTAAAAAATAGGTTCAGAGGCTCGAGTATTAGATCATTTTGAACATTGGATATTCATATTTCAGACTTCGTACTGTAGTATATAGTTTTCATTTATTCAAGAATGACTAAAAGTAGTATAATTATTTTACAGCAGAATGAATTAGCATCTTTTCATCCATAATTTCAGATTCCCTACTCTATTTGGGTAATAATTTAGCAAATTACAATCAATTTTCTGATCATAACTAATGTTATCTACATTCAGTGAAATGAAATATATCCATTGCCAGAACTGCAAGCTTATCAGCCATAGTTCTTTTGTTACAGAATAAATAACTCAACAATGAGTCAAGGCGTTTAGTTGTTATCCACTATTATAATCTATTTTAGCAAATGGTCTATATACAAAATACCACTCTACATTTCATCAATTTCAAAAAATGCTTTCATTGCATGAAAAATGGCAAAAGTTGTAAGACAGCCACATATAATAATGTATTCAAAATAAAATATGCTAAAAACAGTTTTTCAAAAGATTTCTTGTAAAAATGATTTATTAAAAAGCATACTTGTTTATAAAAACTCATTGAAAAAATGTTCAACTGTTAGAATTTTAAAAGAAAAAAGAAATTAGAATAACTGCATTATTTTTATTTATAATAAGATAACACATTTGAAAACTTTTTAAGAATTTTTTTCTTAGCCAAACATACATTTTTTTAAAAAAACACTTCACGTTTTGTACTCTTTCTTTACTAAACTTTTAAAAACATAAAACTTTACTAATTATTTCTTCTGCAGTTATGTTATAAACATTTATTCAAAAATAAATCATAAGAAAAGTTCTTTTTAAATTATTAGAAAACAAATACCTCTTTGGGAGATTTTGTGGCTTTATCATGATTTTTTCGAGATTGCATCGATGTCCTCCAGTTCTGTTGTCATTACAATACTCTACGTGTTTTACTAACCATATTCTTCATGCTATAAAAGTTCATTATAATTATTAATATTATTAGTTGAAACTGCTGTCAAAATACTAAGATGCAAGTCCAACAAGAACAATGTACATATTAAATTGTTCAGACCAGCATAATAAAATAACAACAGATTAGTGAAATAATTACAATACAGCAATAAAGAATATCAGTATTTTAGGTAGGGATGTTTTACTTAAGGAACTTTTAAAGAAAACTTCTTCATATTCAAGTTATACATGGAAAAAACTACAGAAATACCAATGAAGGTAGGATATTCAACTGGCAGAAATCATACCTGCTACAAAACTACAACTCTATAGCCTTGCCAAGCATACCACACATCATAACAGTAATTAATACTATACAAAAGCCTCATTTGCTTGAGTCCAGTATTTCAGCCCCTTTCATGATCAGTTTGTTCTTTTAATCTATTTCATCATAGTTTAAATTATCATACATTCCAGGGTATTAAGCACACTTTTAATGCAAAAAATAGGAACAAAATTTACGGGTGCACGTTGTACGCTAGATATAAAAATGATAGCTTAAAAATAAGAAAAAAATTAGATTTTTACACGCATTAAAATACTGCTTATTTAAAAGAAATGATATACCTTATGAAATTAAACATTTTCATTATCGGATAACATGAAGAGTTCATCATCCGTTATATCTTCAGGCATATCATCAAATTATATTTCATCTTCACCATCACTGTTATTTTGATCCATAAATAAATAATCATTATCCGATCCATTTTTCACCAACACCAAATATCCTTACTGCAGTAGGAATTCCATTTTCTTTTGCAAAATAAATGGCTTTGCATTTGAAATCAGCACCTTTTTTTTTTTTTTTTTTTTTTTTTTTTTTTCGCAGGAGCCATATTTACTACTAAAAGGAGCACTAGATCAACTGTATTTCAACTCAAAGCAAATGCGATTTACTACAGCATTCAATACTCACTTCAAAATTACGGCTTCAAATGACTGCAGAAAGAGAAAACATCCAATTCCTAATTCCTTGAATTCATTCAGGTTGGAAGTGCTCTACAATAGCACTTTTTTGAACATCTGTAATTAATACAATCCACACTCTTTGCCGAAATATTTACTCCTTCAGGCATTTAACCCACAAGCATACTGTCAGCACAATTTAGCATTGTTCGAAAAACTAGCACAAATATTCAAATGAGTAACCTCAAAAGATAATAGCATTGCACATGTACCGTTTAGGTTTCTTCGTGAATAATTGGGTGTACATTATATGGTGAATAATCACTAAAAATATCGTTACACAGTTCACTAGGTTCCTCAATGTTCATCTGAGACAAAAAGAGTGAGGAACTTTACGCATTAAAGAAAAAATAGCAACAAAAAATCTCATTAGCAAATCAATAGCATACAGTTTAAAGTATTAATGCAAGAAACCTTTTTAAGTGTAACAACCAACAAACTCTGTTAATGCCTCATAATAGAAACATTACGAAACATCAACAACTAAAAAAGGGATTGGAGCATGCACTTCTGTATACCAAATGGTTTCCGTCACTTCTCTTTGCATAATTCATATAAATAAATTTTTTCCTCTTAACATCAAACCTATACTAATTTTATTACTTCAGAAATAAGAAATAACAGTGATGGTTGATTAAATAACAGTGATGGTTGCTACAGTCAAAAGTCGTTAATTCGGACACCCATAATCCGGACCTCAAAGCTACAAACTTTCTGCGCATGCGTCGCGTCCACGCATGCGCACAGGCGTTTAAGAGTGCGCGTAAGACCTTTACGGCTGCGAATATGTTTGTGCGCATGCGTTTAATGTGTAATGGAGGTATAAGCTAGGCTAAAATTATCTAATACAGTTAATGTTGCAGATTGCGTTGTTCCTTAATTTTCGAATTGGATCCGGTTTATTATTTTTTGCAGACTGTTAGAGCAATTTCATAAAAGTAAGCTCGAACTTTCGATTATGTCAAATAGAATTTCCGATATATATTTACTAATATGTAATTTGTATCTACAAAGCGAGAGTATGTTTTGAAATCCGAAATCTGTTTATCAATTTCACGCTGCGGATTGGAAGTTGATCTGTCAGCACTATCCTTATCTTCAGGGCAGATGTTTTTATTTTATTTGGCTTATATTCCTTACTAAGTGTAGTATTGGCGTCTTTGATATGATTTAAATCAATAATTCGCTTCCGATAAGTGAAGAAAGTGACCCAGAGGTTATTGAAAACGAAAACATTTCGATTGACAAATTAGTCGGTATTCTCAACACAGCAAATTATAGGACTTGAACAGCGGAACTTTGTAACTAAACAAGAAATCATGTCTGTTTAATAGAATTAAAGAGAAAGTATTATCACATGAAACGAAGCAACTTACATTGAAAGAAATGTTTAATAAAGTAAACAAATAAATATTAAGCTTTTTTTTCTTTTGTAAATTTTGATACCCTTTAGATCATAATTGTTCTTTATTTCATAAATTACAGTTTCATATTTTTAATTTTGTAATTTCTGCATGCCATCCTACCAGATTTAAAGTGATGATCTATAATCCGGAAAAATCGATAATCCGGAATCGCCGAAGTCCCGACGAGTCCGGATTAACGACTTTTGACTGTATTATCTTTTGACATACATATTATTACAATCACCTTAGTAGCAGTCACCAAAGCTTCAGAATACACCAAACTCTGATAACTGCACACATAACTATTAATCACGCAACGATACACAGGACAAATATTCAGTTTCATATGCATTCTTTATATCGCATTCCAAGATCCAATGGCTTAAAAATTGATTATTTTTTGTCTTAAACTCTATTTTAAGATTTAAGCTTGTAGGATTTGCCTATAACAGAAAGAAGAAGAGTGAAATTTCCGCAGCAATATATTATTTTGCCATAAAATCACTAAAGGAACAATGCTATGAATTCTTTCTCAATGAAAATCGCTATGAAATTTCCACCACAATAAAAGCCCATTTGTAACTAGGTTTACTGATTGCCTTTTGGAATAACTATATAGTTGAAATGCAGAATATATATGTAATAATATGTATGCATATAACATATAATTTTTTACGATAAAATTAATTGCTCTTTTCTTCCATAAAATTTGATAAAGTGCACCACGGTGGTTGCGATAAAATGTCAGTACCCATAAATGTTTACATTAAGTTTGTAATGTCACACTACAGTTCAGAACAAGCATGGAACTAATTCAGTGGGCAGGCCATGTATAGCACCTCTGACAGAATTATATAATCAAGTTATAAATTTAGATAAATGACTTAAATGTTCATTACTCAGAGTGATACTATTTATACTACATGATATATGGCACTATATGATAATACTTCAAGATACAGGGCACTATATGGTACACTTAAATTAATTCCTCAACTAATTCCAAACAGCAAAAGAGGGGAAAATATCAAACAGACAAGTTAATAAAGTGCATTAAAAAGCACTGAATTTGAAGATGTCACATATAGTTTCTGTATGTTACTAGAAAGTTAATAAAGCAGAAAAAATTTCGTTTAATAATAGAATTCACATCCGCAAAAGCAAAAAGTTGTTTAAGAGCTCTTCATTAGAAAAAATGAAATAATTTCGACAGGCTCATGTTTCACTTCTTGCTCAGAAACTCCAGTATCCACCATTTATATTAGAAATAGGAACAAATTATAACCCATGAACCCATTCAAAAGATAACCATATTTGTCAGCGAACTTCCCAAAATATTCCTCCAAAATGTTAATTCACACTTAAAAGAGCAGTCATAAAACAGACAGAAATTTCAAATGATTAAAATTAAGGACCTTCTGCCGATTTTGGCCAAAATTAAAGACTTTTAAGGACCAAAAATCAATTCCAAAAAACTTAATGACTTTTAAATACTCTTAAGCACTGTACGAACCCTGTATTGAGCAACTGATAAGACTGAGAAGTTCAATTCACAAGAAGATTCCCGAACTTGGTGAAACAAATCCTGAAGTCTACTGTACTCATCTGACTTATTAGCAAGTCAACATCTCAGTAAGTTTGCCTAAGGCTGGTATCACATATCTATTTATTTATTTATTTCAGAAAAACAATTGTTCCAGACAATTTTTTAACCTGCTTTACCACTGAAAGAAAGATGCACAATATTTTCCTTCTTTTGCAAAAAATTGCAAGTTGTTCGTTTTTTTTTTTTTTTTTTTTTTTTTTTTTTTGAGTACTAGTTTTCCTTTTACATAATAACCTCAAAATGATCAGGGGTGATTGGCTGTTTTGTATTATGTGACAAAGCAGAAAATTTGTTCTCAAATGTGGATCTTTCAAAATGCTTTGAATATGTGATATGACTATAAAATAACCAAGAGAAAAAAAAGAATCCTACAATTTTGTGGTAATACACAGACTCATTCATGCAGACAAATAACAAACTCAACGAAAAAAAAAATCAGGGAATAGATTCAAAGCCCTACTTTGCAGACCTTATAATCCAATAATTCTTAGTACATAAAAAAGTAAAAAAAAAAAAAAAAAAGTTTAAAAGAAGTTATACGCAACATAGCAAAAATCAGCAGTACTTACATTCTAGAGCACCTACCTTAGTGCAGTTTGACGTTTTTTTTACAGAAGAAAAAAAGATTCGGTGAGTTTTTGAATTACAACTTACAATGGATATGTTTACGTACAGAACTATTATGCACATGGTTGCTAGAGTTTGGCAACTTTTAAAACTTTGGTAACTTCTACTAACATGGCTGCTCTAATACCAGATCAGTAAAGAACTCGGGTTTCTCAATAATGGCATCAACAACCTGGTTTTCAGATGAAATTTATTTATGAACAATGACAGTGACTCTAGATTTCATCTCAAAACTCCATATACAAATTCTGAGAAGATAATTACAAAAATTATATGATTATAAAACCCTATAAATGTATCTACTAAATGTCTGGATAAACTTGCAAAGTCATAAGGATTTTTTGAAGATGGAGCAATCACCTGTACTCAAACCCTGGACCTCCTGAATACGTGCCAAGTGTGCTAATTGTTACACCATGAAGGCATGCTGAGGAGGGGGGAAATACCTTATATACATACTCCTCCTTCTTAAAAGGGTGACTGGGGATTAGGAGACCCAATCCCCAAATCTGGTGGTGAAGAATCTTCATCCACTACCTTTTAGTTTGAGCACCACTGCAGAGACATTAAGTATTTTTCATTCAGGAGACATGAATAATGAGCCATGCTCTCACTTGGACCTCTTGATCCCCGCCGAGTGTGCTAACCATTAGACCATGAAGGCATGCAGAAAGTACTACACAATGTATTGACATAAAACAAAATTTAATACTAATATTAACTGGTTAAATACTGATATATTTTCATAAAAAGTTTTGCAAATGTCTACAGCAAATTAAGACATTCAGATCAAATAAAATTTTATATGAAAAATTACAGTGTAAATCAGTAAGGTGGGGAATCTACCCTATTCAAATTTCATCGACTGCTGAAATAAGTTTTCTTGGTAGTCTAAAGATTAAATAATGAAATCTAAAGATTAAAAACCAAGATTGTTGGTGCTCTACCAGAGATGCAATGATAAACCAGAAGAGTTGGCAGCTGCCATATGCATTTGTGGAATCTGCTTGCAATAGAAGAAACTACAGTAAAATTCTTGCGTAACTTATTTTATCACAAATTCACTGAATAGAAAACTGCTTTAAATCTATTATTAAATTTATAACCACAAAATTTTCATCAGGATAAAAAAATTAAAAACCTTCCTATAAGGTTTCTGGGATAAATAGCTAATTAAAATGTAAAATTTGAATACAATATGTGTATATATAATAAATAAATTTTTTTAATTATAAGTCACCATTATTTTTCTTTTGCAAAACATTTCCCAACTGCACTAAAATGGTTGCACTATATAAGTATCATTCAAAGAATGTTGTCAAAAACAATAACCATTAGTGTAATTTTACATTTAATATTTTAATCCATGCAAATTCTTAAAATAAAAATTTTATGCAATCAAATCTTTAACAATACCGTATGATGAATATCTACCTGTGAAAATTTTACACTTTTCACAATCCTTTCGTCTTTACATTTCAAACTTCCTAAAATATCTTACAAATACTTTAAAAACAAGTTCACAATAAAATTTGACAGTTAACAGTTACTGTCAAATTTTTATTTCCTTCTATGTTGCTTTTAATTTGACTCATTAGGCGTAGCATCTGCCTCACATATAAAGAGTCATTCCGAAATGATTTCATCAAGTTATCACATCTTACAAGCTTCATCCAACAGATTACAGGATAAGTCTTGTAAGTTTGATGTTACCAATTACTGCTCGACTACTTTGTACAAAATAAAATATGTGCACATTTTTTTTAAAAAGTATTTTTTCTCGAGTTTATTTCTTTCACAGAATTGCAATATTTGATTGTGCCTACCTTCTTTCAAGATTAAATCATACACAAGAAAATTATTAAATTTTGAAACTGTAATCATTCATAAGCAATTTTATGCGAATAGAATTATTATCTTATAAAATAGCAATATAAATTATCTCGACCATATAGTTTAAACATAAATGCATGCCATATGTGTCTGAGTGTAGGAAGTCACAAATTAGACAAGTAAAAGAAAAAACGCACTAGTTTTAAATTACTTTATGTCACTTAAAATGTCTAATTTCACAAAAAATATGCTGCCATTGATATCAATCAGTTCAGAATAATAAAATGAGTGCAATAAATAATTATTTCTGAAAAAAAATTATTAAAAATGTGCAACAGGTAAGGAAGGGCATGAGCTTTTATTTCGGGTAAAGTGCAGAATCGCCCACCGATTTGTTTGTCGCTTTTTACAAAGGTAAGAACAATTGGATTTTTTTCTTTTACTTTTGAAGTGAAAATAGGTCGATGTGTACATATATAAAGTCAAGGAAGTGAGTGCACAGTGCCATTTTTGTGCAATTCTGGAATTTTTTTTTTTAAGTGAAAATAGGTCACGTGTACATAGATACTCAATTTGTGCAATTTTTAAAAATACACCAAGCAGTGGGCGATTCTGCCCTTTTTCCTTTATTTCTACTGTACAGAAAATTTGGTGAATCTTTACATTATGGTAACTTGGCGATTTTTTGGCGAAAATTTGGCGACCAACCCTGCTACAGCAACCTGCTAGTTTTGTTTTGGACGCCATTTTGTTTTCACGAATTCACGAGGTAAAGGCATTTTTTTTTTTTTTAAACTCAACATTTTTTCCAGCAATCTGCTAGCCGAATTACGTTTATACTAGAACTTTTATGGAACATAAATGCTTAATCATGACGAAGATTAGGTGCGAAATTGGGAGAAAGTGCAGAATCGCAAACCGCTTCCCGCGTTTTTAAGAATCGCACATACACGGTATCCATGTACACGTCGACCTATTTTCACTTAAAAAAAAATCTCAGAATTGCACAAAAATGGCATTGCGCACACTCTTGACTTTATCTACGTACACATCGACCTATTTTCACTTAAAAAGTCAAAGAAAATTGACAAAAATCCAATTCTTCTTACTCTTGTAAAAAGTGCCAAACAAATAAGTGGGCGATTCTGCACTTTAGCAGCGAAATTGTTTCTAAGTGCTTATTAGCTAAAATCACGATCGGAATTTTCCGGAAAATGTCACATGACATGTCTCATGATCTCTCATTTCTCTGAGAAAATAATCTGTGATTCGAACTGTGTACTTCTCAGATTATTTCTAAAGTCCTAGCTAGTAACCTTTATCGCCTTACCAAAATGTCGCCAAACTACCTGTTACCATATTCTAAAGATTAGCCGAAAATTTTACTACAAACAAAATATAGCATGCCTAAATGGAAAAAAATAATCAGCTAATTAAGTTGACAGTAAATTATCTATAAAGTGTTTTTTGGCACCACCATTTAATTTTGCTCTCTTATTTCATAAATAAGTATACGGTTTAATCCTAGTATCCGGTGCACAAAGGGGCGACTTTATGATGAGCAGTAAACGAGACATACAGGATAAGTAGTTATACGGGTCATTTTGGTGTTGGCGATAATTTTCAAAATCGCGCCATGGCTGCACCGTATACTAGGATTTTACCTAAGTATACTATTTCACAATGACATATTTGCACAAAATATACTTGAATAAATAATTACAACTCTGAATGGTGCAAGAAATGTGCATTGTTATTAAAACAATAAAGCTCACCTGTTTAACAGAAATTCTTTATCTAACAAGCAGAACAAGTTTAATTAACATTAATAATTAAAGTATTTATTTTCATCTTATTCTTAAATGATAAAATATGAACAAGAAAAATTCTGCACTATTATTTAACAATCACATATGAGCATTTAACATGTCACATATGAGCCCACTTAAAAGAATTAAAATGCGCTATTTAAATATGCTCTGCCTTCAAGCATTTGGATATATCGCTACATACATACTATATTGTATAAAATTTTGTTTCAACCTATTAATATGTCAGTTACCTCATTAAAAAAGTTTTTTAAGATACTGCATTATAGTAACAGTTTTGGTTTTTTAAGTTTTAATACCCGATTTAATTTTTTGTAAAATAATTTTTACATCTAAGAGGAGAATTCTCACTGTCAAAACGTAGTTCATACTAATAAATATAAATGCAACAAAAACTTTTAATAAGCAACAAAAAGTGAAAATACAGTTTTCCAACAGCGTTCAGATTTAGGCATAAATCTGAAACGATCTCCTAAAACTAAGGGATGAAAATATCAAAAGTATATATTTTTCGTCTAATAGTAAATTTTCATTTATAAGTCGCACATTTCATATTATTTCTTTACTTGAGCAATGTACCCCATTTAATAAGTAATTATGTACGTAACTTTATATTACTTAACGAACCTCTGGGCTATTGCTTATATCTTCCCAGGCACATCACGTTTACAGGAATTCACCGGTACTTCAACAAACTGACACATGCCACTCAATTCTCCATGAAAATTTTTTTACTTGTATATATTGTAAATAGCATAGAGTACTTAACTATTGCAAAACTTCTTTTAATAAAGGTTCTCAAAATGCACACTAGGGCACATAACGGAAATGAAGATTAAGAAAATTTTTTCTTTTACTTAACGTCTTAAAATGCCGAAAATTCTTTTCAAGGGAACTATGAAAATAATAAGCATTTTCATTAAGTTTCTATGATTTAACCATAGATATCTGTGGATTTTAATTTTTTCTTGGTATCATCAGTATCATCTGTTTGTCAGCAATTCTGAAGAAGTCTATATTTTAGATAGCAAATCTAATGCATTAAAACACGAAGTTTTTAAGACTACTGTATTATGAAAAAATATATTATAGTTAATACAGTAAAAAGTCGTTAATCCGGACTCGTCGGGACTTCGGCGATTCCGGATTATCGATTTTTCCGGATTATAGATCATTAGTTTAAATCTGGTAAGATGGCATGCAGAAATTATATAATTAAAAATATGAAACCTTAATTTATGAAATAAAGAACAATTATGATCTAAAGGGTATCAAAATTTACAAAAAAAATTATACATACCACAGAAAATTAACTGAACGGAATTTATGCCAACAGAAATTGTTCGAATTCAAATTATCTGTTCTGTAAATTACTTTGGTGTTATTCTGGACAACCACTTAACATGGAAACCTTACATGAAACAATAATCTCCAAGTTTCAAATTGGTAAAAATTACACTTGAGCCCCTAATTGCTCGAAACCGTGTTTTAGGTATCAATTCTAAATTACTCATTTATAAGAACATGATGGATCCTTTTATCTCCTTTGCTTGTCCTGTCTGGGATTATTTATGCAAAAGTTCTCTGTTAAAAATCCATCATCTGCAGAATATAATGTTTAGGCATTTTCCTTACTGCCCTTGGTATGTTCGAAATGAAGCAATTTATGAAGAATGTAATATTCCTCTAATCATAAATTCTATAACCAACACTCAGAAAAATTCTACAATAATATTGGGAATCATAAAGAAAAGACGAAGGGCAATACTTCGCAATCTAAATTAAAATGACTGATAATGCTTGTCTCATACAACGCAGTTGTTCAAGAAAAAACGAAATTAATTAATAATAATGATGACATATGTATGCGCATTATTTTAAATTATGTCTGTATGAACATCTAATGTGCTTAAAATGTATACTTAATCTCTTATGTACGTATACTTAATCTCTTATGTATGTATACTTAATCTCTTATGTATGTATACTTAATCTCTTATGTATGTATAATTAATCTCTTATGTATGCGTATTTATTTCTTATTTTAACTTTTAATTGTATGCTTTCAAAAAAATACCTCCTTCGACCCCAAAAAGATCCTCCCCAGTACCTCCTAACGCTAGCCGCGCTAGCACACTAAGTTCGTGCTCTATCCAATCCTGCTCTTTCTTACTAATCAGCGAGATCTCTCCTAGCTTCTTACTTCTAGTTTCATTTTATTTTATTTTATTTTATTTATTTGTTCATCCTCGAGATTTTGTAGATAACGCTAGCGCACCACTCAGCTTCTATTGCAGCCATACTTGAAATGTAGAAAATGCCATTTGATCTTTTATCTCAACCAAGGAGGTCATAGAAGGCTATTCCAAAGAATCTTTTAGAGATTCTTGGAATCTAGCATTCTTTGGAATTCTAGCATTAGAGATTCTTTGGCTATTCTAACCTCCTTGATCTCAACCACTAGCTATTCTACTACCTTAGTGCTAACAATCGAGACATTATTTCTTACTAGAGTATGCCAAGTCAACCTATGAACTTTTATTGCTATTGTTACTGTTGGAGAAAGTGTATCTTACCTTCAATATGCTATGATAATTGCTCGGAAACTGTGTGTATCATCTATTCACTGGGTGCCCAACAGAAAGAACTTGTTCAGCACAAAATTTAATCACGTGTAAGAAAAATTAGAGTAATGATGAAGAATGCAATCTACCATTTTTTAGTTAGTTTTAGATGGCGCCATTAAAAGCGGCTGCTCTTTTGATAATTTCTTTTAATACCATCTTCAGAACTGTTAGTATTAGTACCGTCTGAAGGACCGACTAAGTTCTTGCCGACTTCGGAGATGGTGCTATCACTCAAACAATTGAATCCCATTCAGCGCTTTTAAAGTTAAAATTCGGCACATGCGGAGTACCGCAAATGCTTCTACATTATCTCGCAAATGCATGCTAGAGTTTCATTAGTAAAAATTCTGACAATATAAACATAGCATTTTAATGCCGCCGTCTAAGAAATAAACAACTGTCTAATTCAGCGGTTCTCAACCTTTTGACTAAAGCGTACCATCTAAACAAAAATTGAAAACCATTAGCACCACCATTAAAAAGTACTATTACCACCACCACTCTTGAACAAAGCTCAGATCCCATAAAATTACGAGTGTTAGGGGAAAAAAACTCAATCAGGATGTTGAGGTTTAAATTTTTGAATTTAATAGCTAAAAATACTTTGCTTCTTTGCGTACCACATGTTTCTCTTGCGTATCACCGGTTGAGAACCCCTGGGTAACTTAAAGCGGTGCATCGCATATTACATCATTACCAAAATTAGTACACGAAAAATCTCAGTTAAAATAAAAATTGTGCTTGAAATATATTTTTAAAGTAATGAATTGATCACATTAGAAATATAGCGATTAATTGATAAATATAGCGAGAGTCATAAGTTGACAGAAAACGAATGCAATTCAATTAAAATATAAATAAAGTTAATTAAAAAAATTGTGTAGTATCACATGAACTTAATCAACTTTGAGTACAATTAAAGCATTAAATTGGATGATTTGAATTAAAGACAGCGGTAAACGAGTGCTAAAAGTCTGAACAGAATATGAGGTATTTCTCCCGCCTTCTTGGCATGCCTTCGTGGTGTAATGGTCAGTACATTCGGCACGTATTCGAGAGATCCGAGTTCGAGTATATTTCAATTAAAATATAACCACAACTTAATAGCAAAATGCACAATCTGATATAAATAAATTACTTATTCTAATTTATCTTACTTTGTCGGACAATAACATTAAATAATCTCTACGTTAAAATTTATGGTAGCGAGAAACGCAGGAATGTGTCTTTTGTTAGCCTAAGCTTTGGGCTCCTTATAGGTGGAAGTAGTAATAATATAGTAGTAACCCCTTATAGTTCTTAACAACAAAATTGGAACACAGTTATGTTATAGCTGATAGTACGACTTTACAAAACTGGGATGGACTTTACAGAGTTTGTAGAGACATTAGGATTTTTTGGAAGCAGGAGTCATGAAAAATGAGCAACGCTTTCGCCTGTAATCGAACCACGGACCTCTGGCATACGCACTCTGCATGCAGACGACCACACCACGAAGGCATGCTAAGAAGGCGGTAGAAATATCTTATAAGTTCCGTAAGGGAAAATTCCCTTGTTGGAGGAATCCAGGTGTTTCTCACTTTTCTTTTCCTGCCCCCGTGTTACTCGAGGCAACTCTCGGCTACCCCTATATTTTGAGTGTCCCCATGCCATAAAAACATTAAGTACTAACGAACATTTAAGACATTCTTCTTCGGAATTCACACATGGGTTCTGCATCTCAACAGCCAGCAATGTCGATCTCTTTACCGATCAGGACAACTCAAAATAGTTTTTCAAGTGTATTAAATGCTCAAAGATTGATGATTTAAATACAGAAATCAACTAAGAATTCACTATTGGTTTTGATCCTACGGCATTTGCTCTGCGGACCACTACAGTCTGTTACTTTGGAATAGGCATTTCTGAGTCATAGCTAGCCTCCTCTCATTTAGGTCGTGACCTGGAGCGTCTTCACCGTGCAGAGTTAACAAGGGTGTTTTATCAAATTGGAGAATTCGAACTTTTTCTGCAGGACTCTTTGCCATGTTTTGGGGGGAAAGAAAAGGCCTTCAAGTGACTATTCTAAAGTAACAGATTGTGGCCAGGTAAGTTGAGCTATGAAGTGGATGTTTAATAGCATTCAAAAACAGAAAACAACTAAATGCGCTCGGAAGAAGTATTCTTATGGCAAACTTGAACGTGGGACTGTTAGAATTTCATGTAGTAACGACAGAAATAAGTGTAACAATAGAAACAAGGAGAAAATATGATACATTTAATTTCTGAAATAAATTTAGTGGCGAATATGGCTGTCTAGAATTTTAGTGTGTCTATGTTATTAAAATCTCTACCTGCATTTTAAGATATGACATACTGAGTATGACCTCTCAATGATAGTTAAATAGATATGGAAGATATGAATAAGACTGAATAGATATGGGAAAATAGTTAATTAAAACACGCATTAATGAATGAATATAACGTTTAGAACTCTAACTCACACTATAGAATGTGTGTAGGTATTCTTTGGAAGCATACACTTTTAAACCCTATGTCGAAGGCTAAGCAGCGAATTTTCGCCATATCTTTAAAAATAAATACTCCAGAAGAAAGGTATAAATAACCTTTTTATTTAAATCTTAAATTAAAACAGGCGCACGCACTTCGTGCTCACGAATCACCATCACTTGTGGCTACGTAACAGAAAATAAGAATGTAACAATTTACTAGTAAATTAAGATAATCTAATGCCTGGCTCCTTAGCTTACCAACGCTAAATCAACTGCACGCAGCAAAGCTGAGCCGAGAAATATCAGTATAAACTGAAAGGTGTCGAACAATGAACTTGAGAGCTAATCTTAAACTCACAGCATAAACATCGGAACTTAAGTCCGCTACTATAACTTCTGAACTCTTGAAACGCAGTTTAAATACTGCTTCCGAAACACGTTTTAAATTTACATCTACGTCCTACAAAATTTACATTTCGGCAGGAAACTGAAATCAAGAGGAACAAGAAAGTCAAACTAAAAATAACTGATTAGAATAAAGTAAAACCTTACAAAAACCTTACAACACAATAAACATTCATGTGAGCTATTACCCATAACTATTACTCGAAGCGGTAAATTGTGCTTGTTAAAACAAA